CCATAAAAACTAGTTTCATGGACTAACCATTAATCTGTTCTGAAACAATTTTAAACAAGGTACTTATCAGCTAAATTTAATCCATCGGTCTTCATTAGATTATTCTGACTAATGTATACAAGTCACTCACGCACTATGCTCTGCTTTCACACGTACACAACACACTACACGAGATTAAATGACTTGGTCCTCTTCAATCCTCGGACATGGTCCTGATTGTCCAGCAGCTGAAAAGCTTCTGCATTGGTATGCTCTTATTTCTTTTAAATTAGAATATTCGTCTTCCTGCTCGATTCTGAAAAGCCTGTCTGAGATATCTCTACATATTGCTTCGGAAGCATTTTTTAAGTTTATGAATCAAACCTTTATATCACACTTTGTCAAAGGCTTGAGAAACGTCTAAATATACTGCAGAGCAAACTTGTTTTCCTTCAAGGGCATGCTCTATGATATCTGTAAATCTATGCACATAAATCAGGTATCAATTTTGTATCTTCTATCAGAGGTTTTAATATCGTTAGTAGTAATTTTTCAAATAATTTTGACACAACTCTTCTGCTATTTCTTTCGTTGTAACAAGGGTAATGTTTTCGGACTTTGATTGTCTATTATGGGCAAATTATCATCAAGCATCTTCTTTTTTATTGTTGTGATAGAACTGATGTCTTGATCTCCATAATATATCTCGCTGATTATATAAATCCTGGCAAAGCAAAACGTTTTCCTCACTTAACTCCATGCAAAATAAACCTTGCAAACTAGCCATAATCTGTTCGTATTTGTATGGTACAAATTACACGTCCAGACTGAGCACGTACTGCACATTGCCTTCCTTTGACGTACCGCCAAGAAAAGAATCGGGGCGAACATTTGCTGCGCTTCGGAACCCCGTCCACATCTTCATGATCAAGCGTGTTCGGCTTGCCTCATACGCGTACGTGCTCAGATCTGTACGCGACTTCAGATATGAGACATAAATCTATGTGCTGGGTGTTAGGAAGACATTTAAGTCATATTTTCTGTTAAGAAGGCCAATTACATTCCAAGTAGCGATTCTTAGATCTTTAAAAGTCATAAAATTTACTTTTTGGGTATAGCTTTAATACTTCTGCCTTCTAATTAATATGCCAAGTCTTTCATTGACTCGTTCAAGCATTTTCCTGATATTCTGTATAAGTTGTAATGTAGTTAAATCTGTCGATGATGAAGCAGATGAGGAAAAAGAGACCCTAGATCTAACAGGGTTTGGATCCATTGCTTTTGATTATGTAGTAGGTTTCTTGATTTTTGAAACAATATCTCTTCTTGTTTTAGCTCTTTAGTAATAGTACATCCTCTGTAATTTGCAGTTGATATATTTTGCAGAAGTATTCCTAGGATTTCAACATTCAGCTGTCTTGTCATAACCAGCACACTTAACACAGGCAGATGGTCTGTTGTAGAATATCTGTATGTGTTCATGTCTCTGGCATCTTTTACACTGTGGTATGAATTGATTATTTCTTATTGCCTTTATTTTAACCTTGCTATAGTTTAGATGCTGATTATTGTAAATTTTGTTAATATCTTCGGTATGATCAAATACAAGCATGTATAATGGCAGTCTAATATATATGAAGTTTCTGAATTACTTCCTTAATCTTAAAACTAATTTCCTTTAATTCTTCGACGATATCTCTTGCAGAAGTTGACGGGTGCAAATTTCTTATCATTACTTTAATGGATCTGGTAGCATTGTTCTCGTGTGTGTGCCATTCGAAGTCAGGCCCATTTATTAGAGCTGTTAATTTTCTAAATTCTTCATCAGAGCTGTCATTAATTTTAATCTGTTGGTTATTCATCATTTTATTGACGAATAATTTTTTGATATTTTAAATGTTGTTTAAATTTAAACATTGTTTTTATTTGTATCATTTCGAGTTTACACTTGATATGCGACACTTGATCTTGACCTACAGCCTTGCGCGGTGTATACAGTGTCGGATTGGGACGTCAGTCTACCGGTCAAAAGACCGGTAGGTCCTCGTCCAAGCAATGGGCCCTCGATCAGTAAGTTGGCCCTCGGTCAGTAAGTGGGCTCTCGTAAATTAAATGCAAGAAACCCTTCTTTTTTTGCTCTTCAATGAGAGATGACCTTTTTTTGCTCTTCAATGAAAATCGGACCATGAACTATGAAAAAGATGGGCAGTCCCAACTCTATATACATTTGAAAAATTTATTTGGGATTTCCAAAGAATCATATGAAAAATATTTTAATCTAGAACTGTTTTTATCGAATTTTTAATTAACTTGATTAACAAACTAACATATCCTTCCTGTACTGGCTTTTACTAACAATCTAATACTAACATTCCTTTCTTTTTCAGAGTTAACGGCCATCAAGGACCGGATTCCGTGTACGAAACTAAAAAGGCCTCAAGTGAATCATTAATGTGTGCGCTAATAACTCAAAAGAAAATAAGGAGCCGTTTACACATCAAGATGTCTGTTCCCATAGTCGATAGATTGCCTGAAATTGCCTACAGCCGTTTTCATTCGGTTTATACGCAAACCCTTTGTGGGTACGTCTTGCGAAGCGTCTAGTCACGTCGTGTCACAAATGATCGTGCGGATAAAGTGGGGCAATACTTCTAAATTATCTGTTACAATTAACGTTGGAGTTTAATGAAAAATAAATAGAAAAAGAAATAGTAAAAGCAAAAATGCGCCAACTGAAAAAGAGTAGTAATTTTTGCGGTCGTGACAAGGTTACTCATTCGACGTTTTTATTTCTCTTAATCTTTTTTCTTGTCGCTTTCTGTTTCTATTTCTTTTTCTTTCTCTTATTTTTGGTAACTATCGCTCCTGTTTGTCTGCTTATTGTACTTTGGCGTCGCAGAGCCAAGAAAAATTAGCAAATATTTTTATATGAGGTATAAAAAAAATTGATAAAAACCCTGTTTAGGAACTTACGTTTCTGTCTTGAGAGAGAGAGAAAGAGAGAGCTGCTGTCATTAAAAAAAATCAATGGGAAAAGAAAACACAAAAATAACGACTATTTACACAAACTTTGACGTTATTAATTAAATTGCCCCACTTCCGCCTCAGGATCATTCGTGAAACGATTTGGCTAGACCCTACTTAAACTATGTGTGTATATGTGTAATACAATCAGCGAACTAGTCTACTTGTTTTGTGAAAAGTAAATAATATACCTAGCCTTAGTTATCAAAATTGTAAATTAATATTATAACAGGTGACGTACATGAACTCGTCCTGGTTATAACGATATTAGCAATTTTTAAACTAAGATCTAATTAATAGGATGGTATGAATATCAAGAGAAAAACTTAAAATAGATAAAGAAGCTTGCCAAAATTGTACAATTTGTACAAGACATCTTTAAATGTTTTTAAATAAATTTTACTAGTAATAAATTATATTAATGATAGTAGTGTTAAAATAAAATATTTTTTTAATTACTTACTTACGACTTAATAATGCGGAAGCAATTTGTTAATGAGTCGATGAGTTAGTTATAGATTTTAAAATGATTCATAACTAATTTTGAATATCATCCAAACTTATATCTACAATCATTTGATCATTCTAAGGATGCTGATGTTGTGACGAAACGTACAACTTCTTGGTTTAAGCACACTCGCAACTTAATAATAAAATACAAGTTGCAACTTTAGAAGTCTCAAGAACATTGCTTAGTATATATTTCTTTTTAATATTATATCTACTTTTCACAACTGCAAAATATATTTCATATATCACAATGATAAAAACAAAATAAGTCAGTTACTTGTTAAAATTAAAGAAGCAGCATCATTTTAAGTATTGTGGCATTACCTAACTAACGAACGAACTATATTAATCTATAATTTAATCATCTGTTGATGATTTTGTTTTCCAGAAAGATTGATATATAAATGTACTTTGCTGACCAAACCATTTTTTTACAAACTTAGTTGGCAAAAAATGAGATATTAGTTTTCCATTTTTACAACGAATAATGGTTATGCAAGCCTGGCAGATACCAGAATTTATGTGAAAATGATAATAAAGTTTTATGCTTGAAAACAGATTTCACACTTTTTATATTCAATCTAAATTTCTCATATTAGGTATATTAATTTATTAAAAGTAATAAAATTTTATTGCACATCAGCAAAACTTTATGATTCGTTCACATAAATAAATTCAAACAGGTGCAGGTGACTTTATCGCATTGTGTGTATTAATTAAAAATATATTTAAATTAATACTTTAACAATGGTTAAAAATTCTGTGAACAGATATCAAAATCACCAAGCTGATATTTATCTGTCAATGAATTATAAAAAAAATTTAAATTCGCTTTGAGAATGTAACATTTCGAAGCCCAAAAATCTTGGTGTTTTAGATTTAACTTTTAACTTTGTACTTTTCGGTGAACATTGAGTTCGCTTAGTTGCTGCTGGGTATACGCACATAATTTAATGGTGCTGTTTCTCTAAAGTTTATATTTAAGTAATTGCTAAAAATCACAAAACTATACAATCAAATATGTTTATATAAAAAACAGATAAATAATGAAAGACCACAATGGCTCCAATCCGACAACCAATATGCCAAGGTCGTATGGAGTCTACGACGCCAATTACCGTGAGTCCAGTTACCGAGAATCCGGTTATCGAGATGCTACATATCGAGAGACCGATTATCGGGATGCTACCTACCGAGAGACCGATTACCGAGATAGCACTTACCGTGATAGCAATCATCGCGACAGTGATTTCCTTGACGGTGATTACCGCGAAACCGAATATCGCGAAACAGAATACAGACAACCTGATTACCGACAAGCCAATTATCGAGATACTTCCTACCGGTACGAACCAGAAGAAACGTATGTCGCTGATACGACGGCTGCGCGCCCTAGCACATACAGGGGGCTAATTGTGAACGCTTCTGGTGACAGTACTGTGATTCGCTCGCCTGTTACTCAGCCACAGCAAACACGTGCTCCAAATCAAGAGCAACAACATTCTGGGTACAGAGGGTGCTTCAGTTCACCTTCCAACACGCCTGCATCAAGTGAACAAAATTCATTTTTTCGGACTTGGTGTCGACCAACTATTTTACTGCTCTTCTTGGTGCTACTGGTCGTCATCTTCGTTTTGGTTTCTGGAATATTGCTCTACCACAACTGTATGTTATTAATGCCTATCTTAATGCTTTGTACTGCCTGTTTTTGTCTATATTTGGCCTAATTCAGTTATAAATATTTTAATGTTTCAAGAAAGAAGGGCGATTTGTTTTAATTTGTGTTAAGAATTAGATAAAGAGCTTGTCAGCAAGAATTAATAGTTGTTACCTATTTAACAATTTCATGGCGGAAAAGTCCTTCTTTCTTTATTCCACTGTAGTTTTCCCAAATCAAAAAAACGGTATAACCGTTTTAAAGCGATGAACCAGAGAACACTTCGGTTATACCCTTGGTTAACCTTGAAATCACGTGATCAAAGCCCTAAATACGTAACCGGTTAATTGTAACGCATTAACGTTAAATCGTTTTTTAAGAAAGGAAAGAAATTTTGACATTTAATTTCTTATGGACAACGATATAACAAATTTATTTCGCTACCTTGTTAGTGATGGCATGGATTTTAAGAAACTGGTCGGTATAAAATTGTGTGATATTGTTATGGTGCCAAAAAAAGGGTTTGAAGACTGGATATCATAATTTAAGTCCGGGACTATATGTAGCGTTTTACCGGGAGCGTTTTAGCGGGACCCGTTTGGCGGGACAGGTACAACACATTGTTTTAAAAGGCGCCGTTTATACCTGTCTCGCTAAAAATCTATCGGTAAAACGCTATGTATAGTTCCGAACTTAATAAGAAACGATGTTACACTTTTTTTTTCACATTGTACCAGACACATTTGATAAATTACGTATATCTATGTACATAAATAATAGTATAGCTAATGTTACTTTCAAATTTGACGTAGCAAGTTCTATAATCTAACCAAAAAATACTAACTGCATGACACTCTCATTATTAACCCAAGTCCGGACTCAGGTATTTACCGGTTATAATTAATGACGTTTTAAAGGGCTTAAATATGACGTCATAGAAAGTAACCAAGAATAAACAACATCGCTTTAATTAAAATGGTAAATACCGCAAATTACCGGTTGATCGCTTTAAAACGGGTTATGTTTGCTAAATGTTAGTTGCATGATATTTAGGTAGGTTTGCAAGCTAATACATGGCCTTTTAACGAAGGGTAAATCGTACGACTTTTGCTTTTACTGGATTGATGACACTTATGTGCCTTCTTAGGCGACAGATTCCTGTGAGAAAACCTACTGTCATCCTAACGATTGACATTTTTGATCCAGTAGGTCTTCCGTGGTCTTGACCAATGGTTCCTTGATGACTAGTTTGGCCTGTCTTAGTTTTGGATAGTTATTTCACCATTCCTGAGACTCTTTTTGCATCCATTGTTTGATGGATATCTTAAACAATGCTTTAGTAACTCCAAAGAAAAGTTCAAGGTCTGCCATGGCCTTATCTGAGCCTTATTGGGCTAATTCGTTAATCTTTTCGTTGATATTTCTCGTGGCCAAGCACTTAAGCTAGGGCCGCCTTCTTTGACTACTAGCTCTGCCAGGTCTTCTAGGCAGTCTTTCACCAGTAGTATTTTGATTTGCCATTAGATCCGCTTGGCTATCAGAGTAGATGGCAATAGTTTTGTCTGATACTTGCCGATTTATTATTTTGCTTGCACTGTGTTGTATGGTTATTAGTTCAGCCTGTAACACTGTTGCATATTCTCCTAGATGGTCATTGGTTAGTAACAGTATTTTGATTTTGATTATGGTGTCCATTTTAAATATTCCGGCATTTTTACTTCAACACCCCGTATGTCAAACTCTAGCTATGGGAAAGATAGCATTGGAGACGATTAATCAGGACATTAATTATTACTGTAACAGATATAAAATTCAGCCAATTTGACTGTGGTCCTGGTTACATAAGAATAGTTCTTTCTCAAATATTTTATGATTTTCTTATTACACAGTCATCACTTTAAATGTACCCAATATTAGTATGGATAGTATGGATATTAGAGGTAATAAGATTAGTAAATCAGCCAATAATTTTAATGAATGTTTATTTATTATAGGGGAATTTGGTATTGTATCTTGGAGTATGTCTTTATGGTATATAAGAGAAAATAATAAAAATTAATAGAGGTATTTTTTTTTGTCCAAAAGAACCTGTTAATGCCGAAATGTGAATAATTAAAAATATACAATGACCATGCAGAATTGGTAAATTGAGGGTGTAAATATTTGCTTTCAATGACTAAAATTTTCCATCAGAAAAACTGAACATTGGCAAATTAAGGTCATGTCACTCATCTTTTTATGAAAAACACTATCAACAAAGGTCCCATTAACCGTTTTATCTGTTTTTTGCCGCATTTCATTAATCCGAAAATACCTATTTGCTTATCGATCCGCAAATTAGAGCAATTCAATTCAATGGATATATATTAGTGTTTCCCTCGAAAAAAAGACGGAACAGTACAGAGTTAATGCCGTTAAAGTATTCAGATTTTTTTGAAAACCAATGAAATACCATGTTTAATTGATTGCTTTCAACGAATTTAAATCAAATCTGCTCATTTTAAACAGTTCGAGGGTCGTATGAATGAAACATGTTGGAGTGGAACAATGTGAAATACACAAAAAATTGCGAGTTTTTGTGATTCGATACAAATCGAATAACTGCTTAAAAAATATTGTTAATAATCTAAAAGAAATATTTACAAAAGCGGAATTATTTTGTTATTAAATATTGAATTTAATCAGGGTGGGTTTATTGTCAAATTAATGTCAAGCTGTTTAATAGTATTGCAACGTTTATTTAGTTATTTATACAGTTTATTTATTTAATTTGTCTTTACTAAGACACTAATTTATTTATACTCAAAAGCGATAATTTATATCGACATTTACTTATACTTAATTTATACGAAGTGATTTATGTGTATTGAGCAATCTCTTAGTTCAATCCATTTGATTAGTATGCCAGTCCTTCTTAAAGGACTGTGAAGGATGACATATTATTATCATTGAGACAGAGTTTACTGAGGACATTTCCCTGTTTGGTGGTCAGTTTGTTTGTCTTGTGTGTGTTCATTCTGTGAGAGTTCGCCACCTGTGAAAGCTCTCCCAGTCTCCATTGGCGACTAGGAGGACCTTGTCCCCCAGGTGGGTTGTCGTCTGCTGCTCAGTTCTTGTCTGAATCACGTGTTTTATTCTGTAACCGTATTCTGAAAGAGAATGCTGAAAGAGAAATCTTATATTCTATGAGCGTCTTGAATTTTTACACCTTCCGTGGTTCGGTCACTCGCCACCATATTCCAGCACTTTGCGTGGTCTAGCGTGTCTCCTATAATCCGCTTTCTCGTACTCTATTGTTCTCGCAGTTCCATATTTGGGTGTGTCCTTAATTTTTCGAAGGTGTCAGTGGCCTTCTTGTGAATAAGGTCTAGGACCCTTTTGGATTTTAGATCCCTCATAATCACGTCGTTTCTTGTGTATCCGTATGCGTTTGAGGCCCATCTCAGGCTGATGTTCTGTTGCGCTTGCTTGAACATGTCCCATCTTGACCCGAAATTGCCTTCCGCCGAGGTACGACCTGAGCAGCCTTGTCATACCTGCTGTGTACCCTTGGTCTTTCAACTTGAAAATCAGCACAGCGTGCCATACTCTGTCGAATGCCTTGGCGACATCCAAGAATATGGTTCCTGTAGACTGATTTCTGTTGAATCTTCTAATGATCCCTTCGACGGGTCTCAGGACTTGAATTTCGGTCAAGTGGTCCTCTCTGAATCCGAATTGTTCATCGGGTAATATGTTCAGGTTTCTGGTTTCTTCTCTTAACCTTCTTAGAATAATTGACTTAAATGGAAAAATAGTCCTATTTATATACTTAAACGTTACGCTCCAGACCCGTACCGAAAATTCCACACACCATTTCTTACATCACATTACATTTGCGAAAAATTGAATTTTAAGATCATTCATCGGGTTCTAGTGCATTCCAGAATGATCATTGATGAGGGTCCGGAGGTAAATGGAAAATAGAGCCCGTAAAAGAGAGAGACGAAGGGATTAGAACAGGATGAGCTGGTCGCAAATGGCTCGCATGACATTGTGTCCTTTAAGAGATAGTTCCTCGTGGACCTTTTACGGAACTGGAACCAAATGTTTTACATAATGGAGTCACCACAGGGGCACAATAATTAAAAAAATTGTAATAATTAAAAAATAAACTTAATTTTCAAAACACTACTACTAGTACCACCAATACATTATTGTTTTTTCATAATACGGATATAGAAATGTTTTATTACGATTGAAATTGTGAGGGGTCGGTAATTATTAAGAGTTTTTCCAATACAAGCATGTCAGGTCATCATCGGCAATCACAATGTTAGGAATGTTTCTAGAAGTTATATTCCAAACCTCAGGTAAATTCCTAAAATTTCCAATTAAGTGATTAGTTAGGCATCCTGTGTAGCACATTCGAGTTGTTTTGATTGTTGTTAAAGTTCATTATAGTTTACGTAAAAAGTGTTTTGATGTTAGATATAAGCTTTGAATAGAAAAAATAAAATAATGGTATACAACATGATCAATAATCGTATTTGTTTTTTTTTACAGATTTAGTACACAAACCCAGACAAACTGCCTCTATAGAAGGTAAGATTAAGAAACAAATATCTTTTATTAAATATTGAAATTTCACGTTATCCTCTCTATATGCAAAAAATCTCGGCATTATTAGAGATAAAAAAAATTATAGAACAGCAGCCAGCATTACATTGTATATTTTAACATTATTTCCGAATATACAGGGTGTTTATTAACTTCAGTTTGAAACAAACTCGCTTTCCCCCTTATAAAAATAACAAATAGTATATGGTATTTCATACAGGTATAAGCAGTTTTATGTGAAAATCTTATTGATTTAATAACTTGTATTCTGAAAAAGAAACAATTGAAAACAATTTTTTGTGGTGAAAGTTTTTCGATGTATGTCAAATTTTATTCCGGTCTGTACAGAGTCAAAACTCAAATACATCATTTTAAATTTGATTTTTAAAAGGCCACCCTGTATTTTATATCACTGTTCAAAAGTATCCTAATTTTACTTTCCTACATCTAAAGTTATTAGTTTTGGGATATTTTTAAATTTAAATGGCAAAAAAGATCATTCAGAAAATAATGTAATATTAACCTACCATTGGTTGACATAAAATACAGTGTGTTTGTTAATTAGTTATTTAGAATTTAACCAGCTGTAATTTATTATCGACTGAGTAAGTTTCGGATAATATCTAACGCGACTTTTATATTCAGTAAAAAATAAATGAACACAGCAGCCACAAACTCCACTGTTTATTTTTTAAGTTTATTAAGTGTTATTTATGCAGATTTTATTTAATTGGAAAAGTTGCTCGAAGTGTCCTTAATAATATTCATGGAGGCCTAAAGACTTCAAAGGTCCGACTTGCATTTCTAAGCATTTCACGAGTAATACTTGAAATGAAATGAAATACTTCTCTTTTACGAATAAAATCATATTAAAAACTAGAGAAACTTTTTTAAAAAACAAATATTGCAACACTAATGACATTAGTAATAAAGAATTGTCAGTATTGGGTTTTTTCGTTTTTTCAAAGTTAACTTAAACATTAGAATAAAGTAGATATTACAATGGAGGTAGTAATTATCAAAAATTATTCAGTTGATAATAAAGTATAGCTGGGTACAATCTTATTAGGGTACTTACTTGTGAGTGGTGATGTAAAATATAGGGTGGTCGATTTATTAAAAAAAACAAATATGTATACATTTGTAAATTAAAAAAAATGCAATATATGCTACAAACCCGATTCTGATATATGTTATAGAAACAGAGCTACAGAAGTTGCCACTGTAGCTTAAGTGTCAAGCTAGCGTAGCTAATGTTTTTTACAAACTAGAAAAGTAAAAAAAATAAATTGACAAAAAATTAGTGAAAAATATGCCGCAAATCCGATTCTGATATATCTCATATGAACAGAAATAAAGCACTGACCATTTTAGCTTAAAATCTTAAATATGATGCTAGGATGACAAATGTTTCTTACGAACCATAGGAACAAAATCAAAATTGATATATATTTCTAAAGAAAAAAATTATCAAAAAAATATGTCGGAAACTGGATTCTGATATATCATATAGATACAGAAATATAGCACTGGCCATTTAATTCAAGTATCAAGCTACACGGAAAAAAAATTGTAGAAAAAATTTCTACAATTGTAGATTTTTTCTCTACAATAAATAGTACATATAGGGACAGGGACAATTTGTAGTAAAAATTTCCAAATATTTGTGGAGAATGTATTGTAGAGTTATTATCTACAATATTTAGTAAAAATATCCAAATGCATCATAAGAATTGTTCTACAAATTGTTATAATTTTTGCTATTCATTGTATGAATTTATATTAAAAATGTATTGCGTTTTATTAAAATAAATACGAAAATTTTACACAATAAATAGTAAAAATTCATACAAATTGTAGTAATTTTTAATAAAATTTGTAGTAGTATTCCATAATTATTATAATTATAACCTAGAAAAAAATGTTCCTTAATAAAAAATCTCAGTTGGCTTTTCTGCACCTGAAAAATATGAAATAAAAATTAATACCAATTGAACGGTTCATACCCTTAAAACGGGGATATTTATCACCTTTACACTGATTTGGATATTAAATGACTAAGTCAGATAACTAACAAAAATGAGAAAGTAGGTACGTCACAATTAAGACAAAAAAATATCATTGAACTTGGCACAAAATTCGATTGTTGGGCACAACATTCGATCGTTGGCCACAACTATTTTTTTTAAATAATCTACTAAGGTTATTTAAATTAGTTATCTAAAGGTAAATTATTCAGAAACAATATTAAATGTACTTACCACCAATAAAATTTATTATTAAAATTTTGTCAAACGCATCGGTGCTTATAATATAATAATGTGTTATAGGTACTCGTATATGTACCATGCTTTGTTATGTGAACATGGCGAACGGCTACAGCTGTCTGGCCGTTTATGATCGACGTCAGAAAACGTTGGCCAATAGCAGAATTTTGTTTTGTTCACATGACTAAGAATTTCTACAATATTGTAGAATATTTTTCAACAAAATTGAATGTTTATTATAAGAAGGGATGTAAAGTATTACTATTTTTTGTAGAGAAAATTTCTATTTTTTGTGAAGATAATTATTAATATTTGTACAAATTTTTACAGAAGTTAGTAGTAGTAATTACGATAATTGTAATAAATTTCTACTTCTACAAACAATAGTAAAATTTACTAAACATTGTGGACTTCTTTCCTATTGTTGTAGCATTTTATTCGACAATTCAATTGCTACAATAATTAATAGTTTTTAACTATAAATTGTAGTAAAATTTTCTACAAATTGTTAAGTATTTTTCTACAAGTCTACTACTACAACATTGTAGTAAAATTTTCTAGTCACATTTTTTTCCGTGTAGCATGGCCAATGTCTCTCGGTAATGGCAATAGCAAAAAAATAAAAATTTGTTAAAAAAATAGCAAAAAATTAGCATATAGCATAAGTCACTCTGTGGGCTTATGACTTTGACATGTTAGCTTTAAAAAAAATTATGAATTAATGTTAAATGTTTCGGTTTGTACGTCGCTACTTACTGGCCTAATATATAATTAATATATGTTTATAGGTATCAAAATAGAAACATTTTTAAGTTAAAAAATAGTTAACATTAAATCATTTTTAGAATTTAATATTAAAATTCCAGAAAATTGAATTTTATTCAATAATAAAAAAGAATAAAAATGTAAACATATTTTAAAAATTATTTTGAGGATACCACAACTTAATGTTAAACCGCACCTATAATGTTCTTATGGCTAGTACATTATTTGTTTGGGCAATAGTTGTGTACCAATATAAACAGTGCAAGGCCCATTGAATATGGTAGATTTAATTTTCCTAATTATTATAACACCCTGTATAATAAAGTGTAATTGTTTATAAGTAGATTTTATTGACTATGTGCGCTCGGAATTTAGTCTTTAATAAAAATATAACGGACTGCCTCTGAAAAGAGAATTAAAGTTTTGTGAAGCTGAATCTATTTAAAAGTTTTAATCACGAAATTTGCAAACTCAAATATTTATTCATAATTGCAGAATAGCAGAATGCAAGTTAATTATTTCTGCAGCCGTAAAAATATAGTCCGCTTTTCTAAATAGAAGCAAATTGTTATCTTTGTTTCTTGGGTTTCATTTTCACTTCATTATACCTAATTAGAATTATTATTAAATTAGCTGTTTAACTGCTATTTTATAAGAAAAATTAAGAAGAAAAAATTGGTTGTATAGGATAGTAAAAGCACTGCTTACTCAACATACCACATCTATCCTGTAATTTAATGAATATTAACACTGTATGTTCTAAACAAGAAATACAAATTTTTATTTTAATATCATATCTCCTATATTTTAAAATATATTTAATTAGGCTAATACGTAACTATACAGATATGAGAATAATAAATGTTTTCTCATTTTCAAACTATCCAACAAGTCATCAGTATAAATTAAGTAAAGGATTAATCAATTTGAGAGTATTTCCTTAATAAATATATATTTGAATGTTTGTATTGACAAAATTAATATTCTCACAATACATCGATATGCCTATGACATAGTTACTCTTATTAAACTTAAAAGCAAACTGGTCAATATGGCCTGCTAGCGTTTCGGGACCCTAAAATTCGTGTACTGAATGAGCCAAATTATTAAGCGTTTTAGAAATTTAGGAGTAAATACAGAATAATAGAAATGAACTGTCGTAAACTAAGTTGGACTATATGGAGTTGTTTTATGTAATAAATTATTAGCCATGATTTAATTTAGACTTCCTACAAGAATAACAAGTAATTAAACTTCGCCCTAATAATTATTACCTAAACTAATGCGACTAGCTAATGTTTGCAATTTAGATAAATATCACTGAACCAATTTCAGATTGATGGAAAAAATATATTTTTTGATTTTTCTTAAGTTTATTTCGTTGCATAACCATTATCTACTTAATATATTAATGTTTTGTATTTTTGATAATTTGTAAACCTTATTTTTCTAAATTATGCATACCAAAAAAAATTTACGCAATATTGATTTTATTATTTATTGTTTTAAAATAGTAAAATCATAGCAAAAAAGAAGGAATAATAACTAAACAAAAAGGTAATAAACAATAAAGAGATAAGTATACAGCTAGAAGAAATATTAAGTGAAATGCATATATATGGTCCAGTGGAAGGAACAGCAGAAGAGATGCTTGAATTTTATACAAAATTTCAAGAAATATTAGCAAAAATAACAGAAGAAAACAACCATATATTAATAAAAATTATGGATTGGAACGCAGTAGTATATAAAGGTTCCAATGGGAGTTTATGGAGAGAAGACAGTAAATAAAAATGGACTTAAGATTATAGACTTGTAAAATAAATGACCTAAAAATAGGAAATCGATGTAGAAACAAAAATTAGAAGATACATTTGTGGGGAAGAATGAAACGCAAAGAGATTAAGAAATAAAAAACAGACAATAAAGAAGGCTGAAATAGCAGAAAAAAGG